CAGGCTGAGGCTGAGGCAGGCTGAGGCTGAGGCCGAGGCTTAAGGCAGACTGAGGCTGAGGCTGAAGCAGGCTGAGGCTGAGGCAGAGGCAGGCTGAGGCTGAGGCAGGCTGATGCTGAGGCAGGCTGAGGCTGAGGCTGAGGCTGATGCAGGCTGAGGCTGAGGCAGGCTGAGGCTGAGGCCGAGGCTGAAGGCAGACTGAGGCGGAGGCTGAAGCAGGCTGAGGCTGAGGCTGAGGCAGGCTGAGGCTGAGGCTGAGGCAGGCTGATGCTGAGGCAGGCTGAGGCTGAGGCTGAGGCTGATGCAGGCTGAGGCTGAGGCAGGCTGAGGCTGAGGCCGAGGCTGAAGCCAGGCTGAGGCTGAGGCTGAAGCAGGCTGAGGCTGAGGCTGAGGCAGGCTGAGGCTGAGGCTGAAGCAGGCTGAGGCTGAGGCTGAGGCAGGCTGAGGCTGAGGCTGAGGTAGGCTGAGGCTGAGGCCGAGGGTGCAGGCAGACTGAGGCTGAGGCTGCAGCAGGCTGAGGCTGAGGCTGAGGCAGGCTGAGGCTGAGGCTGAGGCTGAGGCAGGCTGATGCTGAGGCAGGCTGAGGCTGAGGCTGAGGCTGATGCAGGCTGAGGCTGAGGCAGGCTGAGGCTGAGGCCGAGGCTGAAGGCAGACTGTTGCTGAGGCTGAAGCAGGCTGAGGCTGAGGCTGAGGCAGGCTGAGGCTGAGGCAGGCTGAGGCTGAGGCAGGCTGAGGCTGAGGCTGTGACTGCGACTGCCGTTGCCGCTGCGACTGTCCTCGCGAATGCGACAACGACTGCGAGAACAGCAGAATTCTACAACTGGATTCTCATCCGAATCTTAAGGGGAATGCTTCCAGATATGCTCCTACACATCGATGTTAGGTTGCTTTGCCGGGATAATTCTGCTTTGCGTTGCTTTTGACATGCTTCGCATTGCTTAGCTTTGCCTCGCATTGCTTTGCTGTGCTGTACTCTGCGCCACATAGATATCACCACGTAGAGGAAAGTAGACTGCACCGCATAGGTTCAAGAAATCACAATTTGGGGTCCGCGCTGACTAACACTGTTTTGTGAAACAGCGGTGGGTGCGACAGCCTGGCTCAGAGGTGGGTCTCGACCTTGCTCGGTTATCTAATCGCTTCGCTCATTCCGCCGGCCCTCGAGCGCTCTATGGGGCCTCTTTGGGGCCTCTTAGGGGCCTCTTGGGGGCCTCTTGGGGGTCTCTTGGGGCTCCTTGGCGGCGTCTTGGGGCCCCCTTGGGCCTCTTGGGGGGCGCTTGGGGGCCTCTCGGGGAGGGGTAGTCGAGTGCACCCCCCTCGGAGGCCACGATCCTCGTGAGGGGTGTCGAAAAAAGGCCCTCAAAACCATCTCTGGGTAGACTTGGTCGGGCTGCGCTCGGGATACTTTTCGCCGGGGGACCCCCAGGGGCCGCCCCGCGCGCGCAAGCTAGAAATATTGTTAACCAGTAGCCGGAGATCTTAGCACGCCTTTGGCCCGTTGGGCCGGCGAATTTGGTCTTGGCTTCTGTCTTGTTCGGGTTCCTCTCGTTTGTTGATTTGGCTCCCTTGTCCTTCCTCGGTCCTCCGTCGTGTGTCTTGCCTTCTTTTCCCGTGCTCCCCAACATTGTTTCTCAAGTTTTTTGTTGTTCCTCGGGTTCCCCAGTATTGCCAAGCATTGCCAAGCAACGCCAGCCTTTTACCAAGCCGAGGGGACCCGCGTTAAATCAATGTCACACAGCGCCAGACAACGCCAAGCAACGCCAAGCAAGGCCAAGCAACGCCAAGCAGTGTCAAGCAATGCCAAGCGGTGTAAAGCTACGCGATCACCAGCAGCGCAATGCCGAGCAGCGCGAAGCAGCGCCAATCAGTGTCAAGCAATGCCTGGCAGAGCCCAGCAATGCCAAGCAATACCACGCATTGCCAGGCAATACCAGGCAGCACTCATACATACCAAGTAGCGCCGCGCACCGTCAAACACTCCCAAGAAATGTCAAGCAATGTCAAGCAGTGCCAATCAGTGCCAAGCAATGCCAGTCACTGCCAAGCAATGTGATGCAATGCCACGCAATGCCACATGATGCCAAACAATGTCACGCAATGTCAAACAACGCCAAGTAGCGCCAAGCATCGCCAAACAGTGCCAAGGCATGTACGGTCAAGCACCGCAGCACACTGCAACGCACTGCCACGCGGCGCTAAGCACTGTCCAGCGACGTCAAGCAATGTGAAGCAATGGCGGGTAATGGAAAGCGAGGTCAAACAATGTCCATCAAACCGACACAACGGAAGGCATTGCCAAGCAGCGTCATCCAATGCCACGCAATGCTTAGAAATGCCAGTGCATGCCAAGCAATGCAGCGCCCTGTCAAGCAACGCATTGCCAGACAACACGTGAAAAAACATGCAGAGCATGCGCGCGCCACACGCATTCACAAACGCACGCGCGAGACGCACGCGAGAACTCCGTGTGAAAGCCTCGCGCGCGCGCGCGCGTCCTGGAACACAGGGGGGAGGCGTAGGAGGAGGAAGAGGATGATGATGAGGAGGAGGAGGAGGAGGAGGATGCGGGGGAATAGGAGGAGAATGAGGAGGAGGAAAAGGATGAAGAGGAGGAGGAGGAGGGAGGATGAGGGAGGAGGAGGAGGAGGAGGAGAGGGGGAGTAATAGGAGAGTAAGAGGGGAGAGAGCGGAGGAGGAGGAGGGGGAGGAGGAGTGGAGCAGGAACGGGTGCAAGAAGAGGATGACCACGCCGTGGTTGGAGGCGGCTGTCCTGCCACAAGGCCTGAGGTCTTGCTTCCTTTCCCTTACTGCCCCTGTCCCCCACACACTAGTTATTGCACTGTGGAGGACTATGTGGTGTTAGCTATGTTGCGCAACTTATGCGGAGCAGGCTTCGTTGTTCAGCTACGTTGTGTAAGTCATGCGGTGTGAGCTGTGTGGTGTCAGCTGGGTGGCGTGCGATCGGTGGTGTGAGCTGTGTGGCACAAGCTGTAAGGTGTGGCCCCTGTGGCGTGAGCCGTGCCGTGCACGCTGTGCCCGTGGAGCCGTGCGCAGCGAGCCGTGCTGCGCAGGCTGTGCTGCCCGCCCAGGGCTCGGGGCGCCCTCGAGCGCCCGCGAGGCCCTCTCGGACGGGCGCGGGGCGCCGCGCGAGGCCCAGGGCGCGGGGGCGCCCGCGGGCGAGCGCCCACGAGGCGCTCCTGCGGGCGGGCACGCGGGGGCCAGCACGCCGGTTCCTCGTCGGGGCGACCCAGGGCACGGGGCGCGCGCGCGCGCCCACGATGCGCCCACGGGCGGGCCGCGGGCGCCAGCGCGGAACGTCGTCGGCGGGCCCGTCGACTCGCACGAGGGGCCAGGGGAGTAAGGCTCCCTCGACGCGATCGCCATAGTGGACGAAATCATCAGACGTTTTCGATCTAGTGCTAAGAGAAGTAAGAAGGAAGCTCATTTCATGGCGGCCGTGCTAGTGGATCTTGAGAAGGCGTTTGACCTCCTCCCGAGACACCAGATCTGGGAGGCCCTTCAGCAGCTGGCGCTGGACTCTGGAGTTCGTCTCACGATCGAGGGAGTTCACAGTGGCACCTGCTATGTTGTGCGCGATCCTGCTACCAATCGCCCAGCACGCAAGCTACTAATTAGCAAAGGCGTCCGCCAGGGCAGCGTCGAGGGGCCTGCTCTTTTTATTGCACTGTATGACGCGGTCACTGCAGGCATCGCCCAGGATGTGGAGGCCGAGGAGTTCGTAGGTGTTCAGGTGGTCTCGGATCCCCAGTTCCAGAGATATCGGAGTTTCGACCCCCTCGATTCCTCGATCGACATTGCCGACGTATCGCAGGTAAAGTTTGTCGATGACTTAATCGGTTTCGTCATCACCCTCGATTACAAGAAGATCTCGGATTTCCTGGGTTTCATTCAGTATGCTATTACGGATAGAGGCATGAGGATGAACATTCCCAAGACGGAACTGATCGTGTCGGTCACGGGTTCAGGGTGCAGGAAATGTCGGAAACAGGTGGTCCAGCAAACAACAGGCATCAAACTGCATGACAAAGACAACAACGTGTTCATCCCTAAAACAGCGGCCTCCGTCAAGTACCTAGGGGTCAAGATACGTGAGGACGGAACTTGGACGGAGGAGATTAACTCGCGGCTCAAGGGAGCCAATGTTGTGCATGGCAGATTGTCCGTCAAAGTTTTCAAGAGTGTCCTCAGCCCTCAAGTTTGTATTCGTCTTTGGCAGTCCCTAGTTAAGAGCATTGCCTTGTATGCGTTAGAGGTGGCGATCTTAACGAAGACGAACATGAGACGGCTGGAACAGTGGCAGAATCGCAAGCTCCGACACCTGCTGCGTTCCCCCGCGCACCTGACGCGGATTCCCAATGAGGCGATTCGTCGGAAGGCAAAGGTCTTTACGATCGAGTCGACGCTGCTCTACCGCAGGCTACGTTGGTGGCAAAAAGTAGTTCTTCCTGGTCTGTCTCCTGATAAACCTGAGTATGATCCGAGTCGGGCAGTACGCAGTGTTATCTTTGGTCGGCTGTCATTCGAGAACCCTCGACGATGCGATCGAAGTGGTAGATTAGATCTGTTCGTACGGGACCTTCGAGAAGTCCATGGAAAAGTTACCCAGGAGTGCCGACTTCTGGCCCCGCACGGGGCCCCAGACTTGAGCAGGAATTGGATCCAATGGTTTGCGGAGATACCCATTGCAGATTTGAAGAGGGTTTTGAGTTACTCATCGGTATTTGATGGACGACAGGAGGGAGGAGGAGACGAACCCGTTCCCGAGGCCGAATGCCCAGAATGCGGTAGAAGATTCCGAGGCCCCAAAGGTTTAGACGGACACAGGTTTGCAGTTCACGGAATTGTAGCCAATAGAGTAGGCATTCCTGAAGATCTGTTGCAGCGGAAAGAATGCCCCCATTGTCATCGAGTCTTCGCACGCAGAGACGGTCTTCTTAAACATCTCCAATGGAAACGTTGCACTAAACTCGTTCCTGCAG